ACCTAAACAGTTAGTATAGAAGAAACAGTAAACGTGTTTACTATCTCTGCTCCGGCTGTGACTATTGGTTATTTCGCCAAGCGCCCTCTGTTGGTCACGGTCGCCGACTCCATCAGGGATTTCCATTATTTAGCGTAATACTGATAATACAATATACAGTATGTAATATAACAATAGAACAAGCATAAGATCTACAATTATTAATTATTGACATGAGGTATTCTTCATTGATACAAATCAGCTTGGAAATAGTTATTATAGATGTAATGATTATATTGTTGGCTTATTTAAAAGGGATTCATTGATTGTATTTTAAAATCAATACCCCATCAGTTGCAACTGAAATATATTAAACTATGCAACGTCACTTCCTTTTCAAATTACAGTGGGAAATCCCACTGGCCTATACGGTACATATTTGGGAGCTCTTCGTAATTTGACACGTACTGTTATTCCGTTTGAATAGCTTGATTGTGAGTGTGTTCAACCAACCCTGCTTATAACCGAAATGTAAGTTGTGATTTAATCAGTTAATCACAGAAAATGGTTTACTATTACTACAGTTATGAAGTTGTGCAATTAGTAAAGCTGTGCATAGTACACTAGCGGAAAATTATTATACGAAGGTTAGATTTAATGTTTGAAAATGGCCACGGAAAAAGATCATTAATCAGTTTATTTAATGCATAGGGGGAAATTATTATACTTAGGTTAGATTTAATACCGCAATTTTTTCAAGCATTAGGCTAAATCTAACCTTCGTGTAATCATTTTCCGCTAGAGTACTATGCTAATTGGAGCAACTCCCTGTTTAGTTTTGCATGCGATAGGGAGGGCCACGGAAAAAGATAACTAATCAGTTTATTTTTTTGCATCTGTTTAAACTATAACTCCACAGCTGTTTTATGTAAAACCGTAATAAACATTTTAATTATAATACAGCCGATGTAGGCCTACAACGAATTTATGCACTACAGCTTTGATTATCACGTGTGACTGAGTAACGGCATATAAAAACCACCAAGTGCCGGTGGGGGAAAGAACTGTTTGTTTTTAGTTCTGTTTTGTATTAGGAGCCTAGGCGTTGCAAAGCAAACTTAATAAAACACGATGGTCTTATCGACCACAAAATTTGTATATCATGGCTACATAACCAGTGATAAGTAATTTCATTACAATAGGATTATAGACAATCCCAACTTAACCAAAAAGATGTAGTAGAATTACTTATTACATTAAAATGCTTTAGGCTTACTGACTGAAATACTGTACGGTATATGGCACTGACTCAAGACATACGGTACAAAAGTCGTGGGAAAAATAAAAAAGTCTTGAACTGAGCGAACCGCGACGCTAATT